TATACATTGTGAATATCACACAATTTTTCATCCATCTTTTTTTTGCAGTTAAATTGTATTTATCCATGTTTTAAATAAACCTCAAAACAGAGGTTAAGTAAACCTTTGTTTTGAACCATTTTGTTTTCCAAAAAATAGAAAGGGTTATTCACATTTCATTTGATTACATTTTAATAGATTCATTAAGTTAACATTTTATCAGTTGATTTGATTACCATTTTTGATAACAATTTTGTATTAAATGTAAAACACAAAATCCAGACAAATTAAAACAGACAACACAGAATTTCTGGAGAAAAAAAAAACAAAGCACAACACATTGTATAGGACTATTGTTATTTATTTTTATTTATTTTTTATTATTCTTTTATTATATTTATTTATTATTTTTTTATTATTAAATTGTTAAAGTTTTATGAATTCAACTGATAAGCCATTTATTTATTTATTAAAATTGAATTGAACCAATAAAACTAAATCTAAATGAGCAGAAAACACAGATTTTGGGATAAATTAAACCATCATTTGAAAAAAAACAAAAAAAAAACAATGTAATAGACCGCTACAGCTTGTTTGTTTGTTGTGCTTGTTTGTTATTGGGAATGAAAGGATGGCAGGTATGAGTGAAGTAACGGAGAAATCTGGCAACTTGAGAGGCTTCAGGAATGCCTGCCGCCCACAGTGAAAACTGGAGGTCTGTGGGAGCCCAGCAGGAGTTGGCACGCCGGACGACAGCCATGGATTAGAAACACATGTCTATCTTATATCCCCTCCTTCACATTCCCTCCTTGACTGAATATCTGCAGTGCCGTGACCCAAAGTTAATAAACAGCTTGGAAATACATGTGGTTAGAGCTGTCTGCTTGGGTAAATGTTATGGAAACACTTAAGGACACACAATCAAAATACAATGCAATTGTATAATTCAATACAAAACAAGTTCCATTAACATTTTCGTTAAATGACGCTTTCATTTTTGTGTTTGTCTCTACAAGATTTAAGAGAAGGAGAATTAGATTTTTTGGGAAAACTCCCAAAGCAATGTGAAGCGGCCCAACAATAATCCATATATGCCCCATGAGAAATAAAAAATGTAAAAACGAGTCAGTGAATTATGAATTTTCCCTGGAATAGTTCGTTACATTTAAAACACGTCATCATGTTGGGACACTTACTGTAATGGTGCTTGAAGTTCCAAGGAGACTCTGATTAAAATATTGGCCTATTGACATGCGTGCAGCGCTGCAGATGTTTCAGTGAGAGTGTGTGAGTGTTTTTGGTTTGCCCTGTGGTGGTTTAAGGAATAGCATCATGCTTTAGCTCGTGAAGTGTGATAAAGTGTCAGATTGAGATGCCTTAACAGCTAGTGTGTATGTGTGTGTGTGTGTGTGTGTGTGTGTACTTGTACATATGTTTCTGTTTGTGTTGATAGGTTTGAAGCCGGCCTGCAAACCTCCCTTGCCAAAATGTATCACAGTAACCATAGTTTCCACCAAAATACTACAGCTGTGTCTACAAGAAACCTGTGTGTAATTTGGTATTAGACACCACAATCATCAAAATAAAGTAAGCAAAATGACCTTCAGAAAGCATTTGGAGGAGATACAGAATTAATTTTTTAGGGTATTATAACAACTGTGGTAACTACAATTTAGCATTTTTGCTATGGTGTTGCTAGGATGTTGTTTTACTTTTGCTAGATATTTTGAGTGGGTTTTGTGTTGCTATGCAGTGATTTTAGCATGTTGTGGTTGTTAGTATGTACTGTCTCAAGTCAAAAGAGCAGTGTAGGTCTTTTTTTCCTGTTTAAAATTCCATGAAAAAAAAGCTTATGATTTGATTTCAGGTTTCATTTATGATCATAGCACAAATGGTATTAATTACAGTTTGAAGAGTTAAACTTATATACGCAATAGCTTGTCTTATCTGATTGTGTCTGATGTAGACACATGGCAAGTAAGGTTGTTGCTGGAGGTATTTGTTTTTGTGTGCGTGCAGTATGATTTCCCTGGATGCATACCGGGCCTGAATCAAAAATCAGTCATTCTTAACAAAGGCTCAAAACTTTCCTCGCATGAGTGAGATTCAGCACTTTGAATTCAGGGCAACCTGACTAGCAAAACAAACAGAGCTAATGCCAAGCAGAGTCTGCTCATAAAATCAGCATGGATTTTCCAGCGTGCTCCAAGAGCAGCTCAAAAACTCCCAACGTTATTTGGCTTCGCTGTTTTATGATGGCGCTGGTTGTTATTTTAGAGTTCGACCTAAACTGTGAGGGGGTTTAATGCAGGGTGTTTCCCACTGTCTCAGCTGAAACACACACACACAGAGACTCATTGTTTTTGAGATAGGGCAAGGGAGAGCTGCTTGCTCGAACATTTTGAGTCTGCCGCAAAAGCTGTGATCTTTTCTGCTGCCTCGTTTTCTGTCTGTCCTTCACAATGGAGCTGCTTGTGTTGTGCTGCCGTTATCAGCGCTGGCCAGCATGTGCGTGTGTGTATAATAGGAGGGTGATGACAAGGCTGCAGGTGTAGACCCTGCCTCCTCTGCAGGTGGAGGAGAGACACTTTTACCCCCACCTTACTTCAGCTCAAAGCACACAGAGATCACATTATGCCAAAAAAATATTCTCTTCTCTTCTCTTCTCTTCTCTCTTCTCTTCTCTTCTCTTCTCTTCTCTTCTCTTCTCCTTTTGTTTTTCTTATGTAATCTTAGAGTTCGACCTAAACTGTGAGGGGGTTTAATGCAGGGTGTTTCCCACTGTCTCAGCTGAAACACACACACACAGAGACTCATTGTTTTTGAGATAGGGCAAGGGAGAGCTGCTTGCTCGAACATTTTGAGTCTGCCGCAAAAGCTGTGATCTTTTCTGCTGCCTCGTTTTCTGTCTGTCCTTCACAATGGAGCTGCTTGTGTTGTGCTGCCGTTATCAGCGCTGGCCAGCATGTGCGTGTGTGTATAATAGGAGGGTGATGACAAGGCTGCAGGTGTAGACCCTGCCTCCTCTGCAGGTGGAGGAGAGACACTTTTACCCCCACCTTACTTCAGCTCAAAGCACACAGAGATCACATTATGCCAAAAAAATATTCTCTTCTCTTCTCTTCTCTTCTCTCTTCTCTTCTCTTCTCTTCTCCTTTTGTTTTTCTTATGTAATCGTTTATGAATAATTTATGATTTGGCAAGAGATTTTATATAATTTAGAGAAAATTGGTGTTTATGAGAACAGCTTGTTTTACACAGACACAAACATATGATAGATAGATAGATAGATAGATAGATAGATAGATAGTAATTTAATTTGAAATATTTTAAGTTTTAATTTTTTTTCTTTTTATGTTATTTTAAAATAATTTTCAATAATTTATAAGACGGAGTCTCATTCAAATGTCTTCTATTTTCTTGTCTCTTTTTTTCTTTCTATTTGATATCTTTTCTTTTCTTCTCTTTATTTCTTTTTTCGTTTCTTGTCTTATTTTTCCTCCTCTCTAAACAATTACTGAACAATTTATGGTTTGGTTAAAGCTCTGATATATTTTAAAGAAAATTATGTGTGTGTGTGTGTGTGTGTGTGTGTGTGTGTGTGTGTGTGTGTGTGTGTGTGTGTGTATACATATACATATATACATGCATACATACAGTATATACATAGTTTCGCTGTTTATCTCAATTGGCTCTTCTCTTTTCATCTCTTGGTTTTTTTTTCTGTCATCTTCTTTTATCAAATAATTACGATCTCGGAATGACTGTTTTATTCTGAAATCTTTGTTTTGAAGACTTGATCCCTTGTTTGATGTCTCATTCTAAACAATAGACAAAAAAGAACAAACAACATTTAATTTGTTAAATTAACAACAGCCATTAAATATTCTATTCGGCTACAGAATACATAATGTTCCGTTGAGCCGCTTCAGCTGCTTGTTTTGTATTTGTTTATCTGGTTCTATGCAATATATGCGCTTATTTACGCACAAAGCATCCTCTGCGGTCTGTGATACAACCGCATTCTATTGTTCCACAGAGCAGCTGAAATATCGCAGTGCAGGTGAGAGCGTGCGGAAGAGAAAGTGTTCATTTTTCTTTGCCAAACTAACATACTTTCAGAGGTGACTGTAGAGTCATATCGCCGGAGGGCAGGATTACTCAGAATAGTTGTCTGGACTCCACAAAGCAAAAACTCCTCCTCCTGCATCTATCATCGCTCTCTGCCAGATCCCATCATCCAAGAAGTTTGCGTTCGCTTTAAATGAGTTTTTCTGGTTGCCGAGGAAACCAAATTAAGTTTAGCTTAGCTGTGGCATACAGGAATTTGTTCAACTGGAGAGCAAAATTTCCTGCTCCTCAAGTGCGTTCGTAGACTTCAGAGAGGTGTTCCACACCCTGCAATTCATATTGCCGTCATGACTGAGTGAGAACATTGAAGTGTTTCGCCTCAGCGCCTGCCATCCTGCTTTGCACTTTTGGAAGAGAACTTTTTGAACTCTCCGCTCGCCTTTCGCGTAAACTGGCCCCTCGGGGTGGTAGAGGAGCCTTCTCGCTTTGCTTTCCACGTTTTTTTTTTTTTTTTTTTTTCCATGTGGTAAGAGATAGTAAGCGAGATACACACTTCAGTGAACACCAAAAACAAACAAACAATGTTTCGAAACTTTTCAGTTGGCGCAGTCAACAGCATTTAAGTTATTTACTGTCGCAATCAGGTCATTTATTATTGTGCAAATATTAAACAAGGTGCTGTTGCAGGAAGTCGAGGTGTGTTGAACTTCAAAATGTCATTGGATATTCCTCCGCCGCTTTGTGGGCTCGATGTGGGTGTGATACCTGCGGTGTAACATTTCCCTCTCTGTTCAAAACACACTCCACTTTCTTTGCCGAGGTCATGACCTTTCCATCAGTCATACTGCGGTTGACCTATGGAGGTATCCGTCCACTCCTCTCTCTCACGCCCTGCTGACTAGCTGACTGATCTTTAATATTCTTCTGTGTTTGTTCCCTCTCCTCCACAGCCCCGACGGAGCCGCTGCTGTGCAAGTTTGCAGACGGAGGACAGAAGAAGAGGCAGAGTCAGAGCAAGTACCCTCAAAACGGCCGACCGTGGCCTCGGGAAGGAGAGGTGAGTGCTGACGACTTTAAAGACCTACCAAACATCCTCGACACGGCTCTGCAAAAATTCAGAATCTATCAAATTCTGTCTATCTATCTATCTATCTATCTATCTATCTATCTATCTATCCGTCCGTCCGTCCATCCGTCTCTATCTATCTGTCTATCTATCTATCTATCTATCTATCTATCTATCTATCTATCTGTCTGTCTGTCTGTCTGTCTGTCTGTCTGTCTATCCATCCATCCATCCATCCATCTATCAATCTTTCCATCTTTCTATCTGTCTGTCTGTCTATCTATTTATCTATCTAAGCCCATCTGTTCATAAGGTAGTTCATACCTTGGCTTTTCTAATAAAAATTACATTTACATTAATTTCTTTACATTTCAAATATTTTAATTCTACTTCTTAACATCCTGTTTGCTGCATTTGTTCAAATTCATTTCAAATGCAGCCATTGGAATTCAACCTGAATTCAGCTCCAAATGACGAAACCTGATCAACTGTACTTACCTTTTCCACACCAGCCTCTGCCCCATTTTCTCCGCACATTCCCTTTCCCAGAATACCCAACCCTGAAGAAGGGAATGAGTCGGAAACAAACCCTTTGTTTCAAACATCGGATAGAAGAAAGGAGTGAAAGTAAGGGAGGCGGGAGAAAACATTTGATTGATGGAGTCATCTGGCCATGTTTAAGTTCCCAGTCTTTCGCTCAAGTCCTTTAATCTCTCCTCTCCTGTTTTTATTCCCGCAAAGAAAGTCGCCGTCTGGGTTGGCTGATGGGAAAATGGCGGCAGGGTGAACAACTGGCATTTTCTGGGCAGCCCCAGCTGCTGGCATGACGCGGCGGTTCAGGGAAGCGTGCCCAGATACCGACCAGACCGTGAGCGCCCATTATGAGGAGCTGGCAGCCGCCATGACTTTGGCTGCACTCTCTCATGAAGGCGTATTTCAATATGCAACCCCAGGGGTCCACATTAACTACATACAGTGTACAGTCACACATAGGTTAGGTCGATGGTTTTCCCACCAGTCTCCAGGTTTTCTCCCCCGCTGAGGAAAACTTGGCGCCTGACAAGCTGCAGTATATGAGCGTTGTTTATCTGCTCCAGTCCAATACGGGTCTAAGCGGCCAGCTTTCCCCCCTTATTCACTTAGCTAGTGCGGCTCTGTCAACATGAGCTATGCTTTCTGCTGCCTTGTAAATACCAAATAACTTTGTGCTGTATCGAACCCGAGCCCATCTGGTATTACAGCCCAGCACTCTGAGGTAATAGATCCACAGATACAAGCCTCGGCCATGTGCTTTTAAAGATATAAAGAGCACTTGGCCGGCCCCTATTAGATGACCCTGTTCTATTGCCAGCATTACTCAATAGACTTTATAGGATACTTGCTTCACCAGAACGATCTTTCACTCTTTGTCCTGTCTGTCTTGTGTTTCAGAGTGGCATGGCGCTGACCTATGACCCCACTGCAATGCAGAACGGGTAAGAGTCATTTGTTGTTTTGACTTTTCAATGCTTGTTAAGGTTGTCCGAGGGTAAAACGATGAACTTAGATGAGCTTTAGCGATGAATCCAACCTCATACCAGTGATCCCTGCTAAAAAGACAAGCAATACAACATAAAGTACATTATGTTGTGTTTTAGATGCTATTATTATTATGCTAGTCTAGCATTATCTATGCTAGTTTTGGACTTTTTTAGTTTTGGAGGATTTTTTAAAATGTTTTTTAAAGTCTCATGCTTTATTTAATCAAAAATACAATATTTGCTGTAATATTGTGAAATATTATTACAATTTAAAATAGCTCTTTTCTATTTGTATTTCAAAGCTTAATTTTCAGCATCATTACTCCAGTCTTCAGTGTCACATGATCCTTCAGAAATCATTCTAATATGCTGATTTGGTGATCAACAGTTGTGCTACTAAATAATTTTGCGATTTTTTTTACTTTTTATATATAAATAGAAAGTTCAAAAGAACCTAAAAAGTCCTTGCCTAATAAAAGTATTAATTTATATTTTTTAAATCTTGCCAACCCCCAATTTTGAATGGTAATGCATGCATATATAATGGTAAAGGTAATGGTAAAGATGCATATATAAAAATACATATAAATATCAATTCCAGCTCTAAATATATCTGAAGTTCCTGCTTGGTATTTCATATTTGAAACATTTTCTATTAATAATGTAAATATGCATTTTGAACTATCAATAACTCAATTAAAGTAAAAAAAATATATATTTATCAACATTAGCAAACATTTTACATTATAAAAACATTTTACAAAACACAAAGGTGGACATTTTAAAAAATGGTAACCAAAAAAAGGCCGTCTACTTCCTGAAGAATATGAATAATCCACCAGAGGGCAGAAGTCATGATATATGATCATGTTAATGAAGAGTCAATTAGCTTAACCACCAAGATTCCTTGACTAACCAGCTGGTTCATGCAGGTTTAATCTGGTCTATTCAGCAGCGTTATCAACGTCTGAGCTGCAGTGAGTAATACTGAACCCTACAGAGCTGTGTTGAACTACTGTCATAATCAATCTGCATTTTGTGCTATTATTGCACCGAAGAGTGTAAGTGTTTCGTCAGGTGCTGGTTGCAGGGCAGGAAGATGGGTGCTGGACTAAGGGAAATAAGCCCCTTTCTATCTGTCCGCTGCATTGGACGGAAGGCCCAGGGCTCTGTTTCTGATCCGGCACTCTGGGGAAACAGTCACATTCGTACCTCGGTTACCAGCTCCGGCTCCTTCTTCACCCCTGACTCAGCACTTGCTGTCTGCTGGAAAGAGAACGAAATAAGGAATGACAAAAATATGCAATCAGGGAAAAAGAGGCAGGTTCTGAATTGTAAATAATAGAGAGAGTAGAAAGGGCAGAGAAGGGAAGAGAAATGCTTTATTTGTTTCCTTTCTCCTTTCCATCACATTAGTGTATATATATAGTGAGTTCATACAGTCTTCTTAATTGTTTAATGGGGCATGCCGTCTCAATGTCAACGGGCTGAAGCTAATAGCCGGCATAAATAACAGCATAGTGCTAATCTAAAAAAAGGATTGCACACTAACGTAAGCTGGTGTGTAAAGCTTCACATTTTAACCCTGCTTCAAAGATTGTGTTACCTTCTTCCTGGACATGCTCTCACTCAGGTCGTCTTGTGTGACTGTGACATAAGGGAGCATGAGCTCTCTGGGGCAGACAGCGTTTCTCTCCCCACGCTCCATTTCTCAGCTGCCAGACAAGCCGATCAATAAAGCCTAGCAACGGAGCTTGCAGATGAAACATGTCCGCAGTAGGTACACAATGATAAATAAAGTCCTGCCCAAGAACTGTAGCTACTGGAAAATGCTGTTGCTCAGGTAACACAGAGAAGTCAACAAATTAGCTGTTGTGACACAAGCCTGTGCAGATAAACACACACGACTATACACATAAACACAAGACATGATAATTGTATTGTATTGTTTTCATCATTGATAGATAATTCTTCAGCATTAAATCATTATATTATTTTATTATTATATTATGATTTTTGAAGACTGGAGTCATGGCTGCTGAAAATTCAGCTTTTTGATTTATTTTAAATTCTATTTTAAAATATATTTGAATTATGAATTTATATTTGAATATAATGGTTTATTTAAATTCATTCAATTTTTTTTACTGTTTTTACTATATTTCTGATCAAATAAAACCAGCCTTGGTGCAAGAAAATTATTTCTAGAACATAAAAATGTTCTTAATAAGGCTGGAGTAATGGCTGCTGAAAATTCAGTTGTTTTTTTTATATATTCAAATAAAAATGGTTCATTTAAATTCATTTATTATTATTATTATTATTGTTTACAATATTACTGTTTTTACTGTTTATTTTTTTTATTAAATAAATGCAGCCTTGGCCAGCGTATAAGTCAACTATTTCAAGAACATTAAACATTCTTAATGACCCTAAAAATTTGAAAGTTTCTATAAAATTCTATAATTGACTTTAAACTAAAGCTGAAATAAATTATTACAATATTATGAGAAAAATGCGTATTTATATGACAGTATTAAGCGTGTTAATACTATTAATGTTACATGTACAAACTTCCAATTTCAATTCAATTTAAAAGACTTGTGTAGCACATTTCACAGTTTTCCGCAGACCCTCTACAAGAAAGCTGGGTGTTCCTGGACCCCAGTTTAAAAACCCTTGTCTTATACAAACAGAAAAGAGTACTAATAGTGTTTTGTGTATCTTGCAGGTTCTACTCCTCACCATACAGCATCTCCACAAACCGCATGATCGCTCAAACGTCAATCACTCCATTCATCGCTGCCTCTCCTGTCTCCACATATCAGGTGAGATCACAGCATATACGCAGCATACAGAACAAACACATGCTGCAGGCAAGCCAACTCACACATTTACATTCATACAGTGGCCCTTAGAAACATTTGGACCATCAAGATGTCATATTTGAAATATGCAAGAAAGATAGCACAGTTAAGCAAAAAAAAAAGCTGTGTGTTAAATTAATTGAACACTTTCTGGTTAAAAATAATGTAATTAAAGTATAATTACCTTTGAGAAAAGGTCTAGTAACAATTATTTGCAGATGTTTGATATCTAACACAATGACGTTCAGGCATTTTTAAGTGAAATTTGAGTGCCCAGATGTTTTTGGGGCCATGTATACAAACACAATTACATGCAAACACAAACGCAGTTTGTGTCACACACATACGAGGAGAGCATGTTGCGCTATAGCGTGTTTTCCATCACTCTCCATGTTTGCTGATATGTTAGGAAAGCTTATTAACGCTGTTCTCCAGAGCTGCAGTCAGACGGAGTGAGCAAACAGTGACTATGAGCATCCTTAATTGATTTGGCTTAAGCTAAACTAAACTAAACATTGCTGAGTGTAGAGAATAGCTAAGCCCTTCAGATCATATACCTCCCATCCTCATGAGAACCTCGTCCTCGCGCAAACACACCGACACACACATATGCGAGCACGAGCGCACATATCCCAACCACCCACGCTGACGCTCTCGGCCGCACGTTTGTTATGATAAATTCTGCACGCCAGCAAGGTTATCTCTTAATCAAATTGCGTGATATCATGTGCAAAAGCGCCCTGCTGGCCGGCGAATTAATTTTAAATTGCAAACTGCACTGAACCTGCCAAAACGAGTTCAAAGACAAGCTGACGGGAAATCAATGCGCTGCTACATTTATTTCTCCCCTAGAACTTCGAGAATGGAACAAGAGACAACTGTTTCCCTCTCCGGTGAAAGGACAGAGAGAAGGAGAGAAAGAGGGAGAGCGAGAGCATGAATCTTTTAACAGTCGGGGAGAGAGAGACAAGGTGTGCGCTTACACATCTTAGTGGACTTAGTGTGTTTAGAGAGAGAGAGAGAGAGAGAGAGAGAGACGCCCGAGGCAGATCACAGTGATGAACAAATCCCAAAGGCTTTTCTTCCTAGAACAACATAAAAGGACACCGCATATAAATTTAGACACCTACAACCGTTCAAACGCACTTTCACGAAACTAAATGCATACATCCATCCTCTCAGACAGGAAGTGGCCACTTATTCTCAGTTTGCGTGGTGCACTGTAAAAATAATACGTGAGCTTAACAGTGTTATTTCAGTATCATTTTTTATTCTCATTTTCTGTTTTCGTTTTAATTTAGGTTAAAGTTTTAGTAATTTTGTTGTGTTTGTCTTTTTTTAATGTTCATATAGTTCATTTTTATTTCAGTTTAAGTTGTGTACGTCAGTTCTGTGGTAAACAGTGTTAATGCTCCGAAATTATGGAATTCGCTACCCCTTACACTTCGTAATATACCATCTTTGTCTACATTCAAGACTCAGCTAAAAACCTATCTTTTTAATATGTATTTTGGATAATGTGGCCTTATGTCAATGTTTATTTATTTTTATTACACATTTTTGTTTTATTTATTTGTAGTACATCTATTGTGTGGTATAAAAATAATACTCAAGCATATTAGTGTTATTTTATTATCATTTTAAGTACCGCTTTTATATATTTATATTTTCCAGTATTTTTATCAGTGTTATTTTAGTATAATTTTGAGTATCATTTTTTATTTTTTTTTTATTAGTTTTTGTCCTTGTTAATTTTATATCAGTTTTAGTTTTATTTATTTTAGTAAGTTAAACTAAATGAAAAGAAGAAATGCTGCCTTGCCAAGTTACCAGCTAGCTGATAAATATAAAATATGTTCATTTTATTTTATTTTAGTAAATGTTTATTTTTAGTACCAGTAACAAAAATGTTTTTACAGTTTTAGTTAATTATAGTAACCCTGTCCTAAATGTAGTAATTGTTGGTGCGAGAATTACTATGGCGTTGAGATTAAAGGAGAGATTTTTGGGGTCCAAGTCGGCCTTAGATGATGAAATTGCTGCGGCAGTGCTGTAATTAGGAGGCAATATCTCTGTCTGTAGAATTCCGATCCCTGTGTAATTATCGCACTTGTATTACTTGCTCCTGCCTTGGCTGTTCTGTGGGAATCGGGGCTTCGAGGCAGCGGGAGGAGGCATAGGAGGGGGTGAGGAGTGAAATTAAGAAATGCTGGTTTCCGCCCACAGGTCCAGAGTACGTCGTGGATGCCTCACCAACAGTACGTTATGCAACCTACGGTAAGTGCTGCTGAGGAGGTGTTCAGTTTTGTTTAGCACTATGTAAAGTGACCTTGAGCTATGGAAAGGCACTATATAAATAAAACTTCTTCTTCTAAAAAAAATAATACTCAGAAATATCATTTATTTTAATATTATTTTTAGTAGCTTTTTTGTATATTTTCAGTTTTCATTTTAGTTTTAGTTTAAGTTTTGTGTGTGTGTGTGTGTGTGTGTTGGGGACGTGAGGAAACAGACAGATAGAGAGGAATGAGGAGAGGTGAGAGTGATTTCGTTTATCTTTTTGAAAGAGTGGATGTTCTGTGAGATAAAACAAACAAAAAAAAATGCAGTGGCTCTTTACCCCCATTGCCCTCTTGTGGCCGAGCAAGTAAGCGCGGGACTGGTGAAAGGTCGTAAACTGGGTGTTTATGTGTGTTCAAAAGGATAGTTCACCCAAATATTTTACATTTTTAACACCTTCATGTCAATCCAAATCAAGGTTCTTTCTTATAGTATGTGGAACTTAAAAGGAAAAATGTAAGAACGTAAGAATATATATAAAGAATGAATGAGGACAGGGGCTGTAGGCTCTGAAATGAAAAAAAAAATCATAATAAAAGTGTTTTGCACAACTCTTGCACTATTTTGTAAGTGTTTTACACTAACAGATAGGATTTAAGTTGTTATTTACTGAAAACGTCTGTTGTCTGCCTCATGTAGAAATGTCCGTGAGACACATTATTTTGAATATGCGCTTAAAGTGAATATCAGTTACAATTTGGTCTTTTCCTCAAATAAAGCAATTGTGTGACTTCAGAAGTCTTAAAATATAGAGCATTAGTCATATGAACCAGGTAATTAAAAAAAAAAATTGCCACAGACCCCAAATTATGATGGTCCCCTTGTGAGGGAAGATTTAAACTGATTAATTACTTTATTAAGAATACAAATATTATATAGAACATATTTTTTTATATATATATATATATATATATATATATACACACACACACACATACAGTATACATATATATGAAGAGTTCATTTGCAAAAACCGATAAACTCCACTTTTAAAAAAAATGCATTATTCTCCACATATAGCGCCATCTGAACCCTAAACATGTTTTGTCAAAAAAGCCGGTTTTGTCCACTTTCAAGGCAGCGCGAGTTCACGATTTACTGCAGAAGCCGACAAGCGCCATTGTTGTTTTTGAACAGAAGCCGATAAGTCCATTTTAGCGAATCAGAGCGCTGTATTCAGGTCAGGTGACAAGGCTACTTTCACTTTGAAAAGACGTGCTAGCTGAGAGGAGTTTCGTCAAAACTGGCTAAAAGTGATCGAGGATGGATAATTTCGACGAACTTGATGAGCCTGTGATATCTTCTTCAGAGCGAAAAAGGAAAATAAAAGCTGAAACGTTTTCACGGAACCTTGCAAAAGCAGCGCGTTACAATGGTGAGGGAAAAGCTCCGTGTATTGCGTGTAATCACATCCATACAGTTTATGATCACAACAACAACAACAACGTTTGTCAGGTCTGAGGGGATTACAAAGATTAAACAGCGTGTTTAAAAAGCGTGTAAAAGAGTGTTTTTTTAAAACTCTAAAACATGAAATGTTATCTGCTTTTGCCAAAAAACGACTGTTGGAGTTATCTGCTTTTGCTATAAAACAAACTTTTAATATGTAAAAAAAAAAAAACACTTTCAATTAACTTTAATTTTGTATATTATAAGTTATTATTAGTAAAGCAGCGGAGCTTTTATTTTGCCACAGTCGACCGCTTCCGCTCCTTCCAGTCGTGCGTATATGGGGAAAAAAAGCAAATATAACATTGTTCTAGTGGTTTTTAGATATTTTAATGAAAAAAATCTTACAAATTGTGCCATATATATATATATATATATATACTGTATATATACATATATGTATATATAAATGAATATTTCATAGTTATATTATTTTTGCTTTGCACTACAATAGGGAAATTACAATATTTCTTTCCTAATTTCTACACTTAAAAGAGATATATTTTTAATTTGGACTGCAGTAACGTTACTCGTTTAAACCGCTAGCTGTCAACAATTCATACTGCACTTTTAAGCTTTTATTTTGATGGAAACGGCAGTAGAGTTTTTTTTTGACAGAAAACTCCAGCTTCAGTGAAAACATGCTTACATTATGTAAGCATATTTTCACTAAAGCTGGAGTTTTCTGTAAAATTAAAACTACATGCATATATATATATATATTAGGGCTGTCATCGTTAACACGTTAACGCATGCGATTAATTTTACAATCCTTAACGCGTTAAAATAATTTAACGCAAAATTACTGAAGCACAATTTCTATTCTAACCCTTTAACCCAATTTTGCTACTCTGCTTGCGATTAGATCATTTTAAGCTGCTAAACTCCGGTAAAGTTTTCAGTCCAGTGATCCAGTAAGCGAATGCATTCAAACAATCTGTCCAAAACAGCGCTAATATGAAGGAAACCAGGCTGATTACATCAGAGATTCCAGAGAGAACAGAGACTCACGTTGCGTTTTAAGTGAATTATTCATTCCAGTGTGTTTTGCTTTAAAACACGAGCGCTTTCATATTCTGTGATTGTCTCTGAAGAGCGCGCCCTCACACGTTGCTCTGTGTGAAGTACAGACTGAACGGATTGTCAACACATCCCACCGCTGTATGGCCAGATGAGATGCAAACTACATTTCTCGACTGGATAACCAGTCTCGCTAGTAAAGTTTTGATGGATGAAGATTGCAATCAAGGATAAAGC